AACAGATGGATGAATAGTCGATGAGTGGTGGTTGACATGTGAGTCGTTGATTGTCGACGATAGTGATGGCTGGTGTTGGAATTAAAGGTCTTGAGGTATTTTATGAAATATAAAAAAAAATTATTTTTTTTGTAAATTTATGAATAATTTTTAATTAAAAGAAAAAAAAATCAGGTCTCATGCTAATATTGATCAATTAATTGATTTATAATAGATTTTTTTAACAGTCGTTACAATGTCGTGCAGGAGCTTTTTAATAATAACTTTTATAAGTTGCAGGTAAGATAGTTTGCTTCACCCCCAGCAAAAAAAATGTCTCAATTATTAGGAAGATCCCGTTGTCGGTTGCCACTTTAAATTTTACACTGGAATTCTCAGAATTCCCAATAAATTCTTTTATAGTTTTTTAAAATTTAAGGATTTAATATTTTTAGTAATAGTTTTTCATTAATATAAATAGAAGTGAGATATGGCTATAACCTTATATACATACTATTTGTTATAAATGTACTTTCTTAATTTAGTGAAAAATATATTTTCTTAGTTGGGATGTAAGTTAAATGACACCTATCTAAATATACTCTGTGGGACATGACACTAAATTCTGTTATTAGGACGTCTTTAAGGGTGATGCATGTATCCGAAAAATTGAGGGAGAGAAGACTACGGTGGTTTGGGCATGTTCTCAGGCGACAACCGTCGGATGCGGTCAGGAGGGTAGAGTTGATTACAGTCGATGGTGCCAGAAGGAGATGACGACCAAGACGGAAGTGGAAAGACTGCTTGAGATCTGATTTGAAGGCTCTCAACCTGGCGTTTGGGGCAGCCTACTATCCTACCTCCTCCTTACCCCATTGCATATGGGAATAGGGTTTCGTTGTTGTTGTTGTTGATGTTATCAAATGATTTTAGGTGATAGTAAAAAAATTATGAATATAAATTTTTTATTATAATTTTAAATTTCGGTAATTAAAGGTGTGTGCACGTTGTCATCAACTAAGAAGAATTATAAATAAATATTATTTATAATAATTATAAATAAATATTATTTATAATAATCCCATATCAATTATAAAAATTATAATATTTGATTACTTTAACATTGCTCTTAAATCAATATCACAAATGGACGATCCAGCTGATAACGATGGCTCCTACAAGTTATACTAAAGGGACGACGATTGATCTTATCTTCCACGTGTAGGGTGTTGATTTGCCTTGTGAATTTTTTCTTCGTGGGGTGATGCCACAGGCTCCTGAAGGGGCAGGCATTTCTCAATCATTTAGTGTGGGCTCTGCTTTATTTTTTATTTATAGAATATTTAATTTCTTAATATTCTACTCGTGAATTACTCAATACGCTAGGCTTACATAATTAAAGGGTTTAGTACTCTAGTTTGGAGTAATTGTTTCTTTTTTAATGAGAATTTGATATTGTTCTAAACAATAAAATACTTAAAACTACCTGTATAAAAAAATAAAGCTATCTATTATGTAAAAAGTTCGTAAAGAGAATCTGATATTTGTAAACAACAAAATATGAAAAAAGAAATTATATAAAGAAAATTATAATGTAAGGGTTTTAAATCCTTGTATTTATGAAATTTAACACCATTTCTCCATTTTATCCGAATATTCATCTGAGAAATGGAAAAACATTTATGTAAATAATTTTTTGTTTTGTTATAACTTCTACAACATATTCTGCGAAAAATTCTTTTGCATTTTATTTTTTGTCATATATCATTTACAAGAGTTTCGACTCATGATATTGCATAAAAAAATTGTTACGAGGGGGAAGAAAATAACTAAAGCATATTGAACCCTCTGGGGTAATAAGCACCCCTAATATCTACTTCTAGCCATGGCGAAACCTCCGTCGGAGGAGAATCGAAAATAATTAGATCTTCGACAAGAGAACTTCCCATCTTTGAGAGGACATCGACACAAAATTTACCTTTGTGATAAGTATGTTGGAAAGTTAAAATCCAATTCTAAGTTTTGAAATGAAGAATATCTTCGATGATAGCTCATAGGGGATGAGTAGAAATATCATCCGCCTCAATAAGTCTGAGAACAACTTGGGCATCCACCTCACAATCAATATCATTAAGGCCATATTTTCAAGCAATAGTCAGGCTGAACCTTAAGACATAGAGCTGGGCTCCACACTTGTGCAAACTCTAAGATGAGCTACAAATCCCACAATCTACTCCCCAGAAACACTTCGAAGTAGGCCGCCTACACCAGCGGTTCCCGAGTTCCCTTGACAAGCACCATCCGAATTTAGTTGAACTCTATCACTCAGAGGAGGACTCCACATCAAGTACCTAGGAGAACTTGAGCAATGAGAGGGTTTCCCATGGACTCGTAACTGCTCATTTGTAAGTAAAATGACATTTCTCCAGAAACCCAACTCATCATAGACATAGTTGTCAGCCTCAAATATCTTCCAACACTGCTCAGTCCAAAACCTCAAAATAATACAAGCAAACCGAGTTATTTCTTCTTGGGAATGCTTGGTGGCATCGAGATTATCTTATATTCACAAACGCAACTCTTGTGACCAAAATCCTCCTTTTGATCCATCGATACACCGACTCAAAGCTTTGCGGGCAATCATACAATCCCTTAGGATGTGGGTCAAGGTCTCCAACGAGCAATCACAAGCTAAGATGGGATCAAAGCTAGAGTGACCAAATAAATAATTATACCAATTTTCAAAACAAAAGTTGAATTCCCTTAATTGTGTGTATATTAGTTTGGGCTTGGGTTTGACCCAACATGTGATAAAAAAAAGGTGTTTTTAAGATGGGATCAAAGCTAGAGTGACCAAATAAGTAATTATACCAATTTTCAAAACAAAAGTTGAATTCCCTTAATTGTGCCTATATCACCCATTGATACCTTATTTTCCTCCCACTTCACTTTGTCATTTCTTCATCTTTTTCAACTTATTCCTTCTCCTTGAGCTAGAGCAAAGGTAGAAGCTTTAGTGACTTCCCTGGCTAGTTTTACTGAGGCAAGGTAAGAATCATAATCTCTATCATTAGAGCTTTAATTCAAGTCCTCAATCTCCTATTTCCACTTTGGACCCCAAAGTATGGGTTTAGTAGAGGTTTTAGAAAACCAACTAATTTTTGAAGAATTTAAGCTTTAAAAGATGCTCTAAATTCCTTCATAAACCTTCCAGCAACGTTAGTAATGTTTATGCTTGATTCTTATCTAGTGAGAGAAGTTGGTGAAACCTCTCAAGCCAAGGGAAAGGAAAAACTTGTGCCAAGGTGACTTGGTGACATTTCCAAAAGCTTAGAAACTAAAGGTAACTCATTTTTAACTCAACTCTACCACATGTAGGTCATTAAAATGTGTTTGTTGAGTTGCATGAATTATGAAGCATATTCATGGTAGAATGTAGAAATCAATGTTTTCCAACATGTTTATAGACTCTTTATGACCACTATATTCATACATAAGACTTTAATAACAATTGGGACTCTCAGTAGGACATTTAGGGTAGAAAGTTAGCATTTTTCGTGCACAAAACAAGGTATTTTTAGGCACGATTATCGATAATATAAGAATAGTATCGCTATTGTTCTTCAGCTAAAGTAAAATAAGGAAATTTTTTGAAGGTAGTATCGGTACCATGGGTAGGGTTTCGACACTCCCACAAAAGTATCAATACCTAGGTATTTTTTAGAATATCGAAGTCAAATTTAGTACCGATACTCATGCATGTATCGATACCACTATCGATACCCTCAATAGGGGTATCGATACTCAGATATATTTTTTTAAATATTGAAGCCAAAATCGGTATCGATACTCAGGTAAGTACCAATACCCCATACCATGACTGTTGATACCCCAACTAGGGTATCAACACCAACTTTTATCTCTCAGCCTAAAATTTGACAATAGTGTCGATATCTAGATATCAGTATCGATACCCATAGGTCAGTACCGATACTGAGGGGCTTAGTATCGGTACCCACATACAGGTTTTAAGAAAGAATCCCAAAAGTATAAAGGATAGAATTGTGGGATCCCACAATAGTGAAATACCATGAAATAAAACTACAAGTGAAAACAATGATTAAACTCAGAACAACTAGAAACAATAACAACTAGGATGACATAAAACTAGCATTGTTTGATACTCGGGACACAATCAGGACACCCGAGTTACTTTAGCAGAATACAACAGTCAGTGCCAATGCACTTAACCACCAATTGGGCGCAGATGCCCCAAGACTCAATGGAGTAAGTTGGTCGGGTGTACATTTTCGACACAGTTTCGGATCTTACCCCATAATACCTGAGGGTATCCAGATAGGCTAGAGGGGTGTGTGAGCTTCGAGATGTAGAACCCTTAGTCGTACCTTGACGCCCGCAACAACATAGTAGATCAATATCCACTAGCTAGCGCATTTAGTGAATGCATGTAGTGTAGTACATTTATCAGTGAGGCACTGAGCTCGTAAGATCAACGTTCGAAATATGTTTCCGTGTGCAGGTTCTTAGGAGGTCGATCGTGGGGAGTTATCGTCATTAGATATTCCAGCGCAATAATTACATATCAGCCAAAGTATTTAGAGTACGTCTTGAGTCATTCTTAGAGGGCGTGTACTATTTATGGGTCCTTATGTATTCAGTCGTAACTCTTTTGATGTAAACTTAATATTTTATTATTTTGATATTTTGGGAGCTACCCGTATTATAAATGATATTATTATGTTTTACTTTAATTACTATGGATGTATTTTTATTAGATGCTTCACAGTCAATTATTTTAAGAAACTTTTTAGGTTAGTCACTTAGGTGGTCCCGTGTGACATCATGATCTAATGACCTTCAGCTTGGATTGGATTAGGGTGTAACATTTAGTGGTATTAAAGTGTCAGGTTTAGTTGTTCCTAGGACCCGCAGGTTAAAGTCAGTTAGTGTTTATACTTATACATGCGTTTAGAGTGTAAAAAGTACTTTTAAGATTGGAATGACGATAATAACCTCATTTTCCTTCTAATTTCAGATGTTAAACAACCTAACTTATAGCTAGGATGGCAGAGGCGAGAGTCATGCCTTGCTAGTAGCTGTAACCGGTGATGAGTTCGTCTCCGATACAGACCAACAGGACCTTCCAGTAGATGAGGGGGTCGAGAAGGTGACCTTCTTCAGTGACCTCACCTTCGTACTTAGATAGATTTCTATATTCTTGCATGGTGCCTCAGCAGCAACACCTCCTCCACCAACACCCCTAACCAAAGTAGTGTATCAGGAGTCCCAAGTAGAGAGGTTCCGTAGATACAAGACCTTAAACTTCCACGGCTTAGGGGACGATAGTCTTATAGTGGTGGACCAATGGCTCAAAGAAACCCTCCGCACCGTCATACATCTGCATCTTACCCCTAAGGGTAAATTATAGTGCATCACCGCCTTACTTAAGGGTGCCACCATAAATTTGTAGGAGACCATAGAGATGAGACTAGAGCTAGAGAGAATGACTTGGGAGCAGTTTCTCTCTGAGTTCAAAAAGTACATCAGTGATGATCACACCGATGACCTGAGGAAACAATTCATACATTTTGTCCAAGGGACCGACCAATGATGAAATATGAGCTCGAGTTCTTCAGATTGAGTAGATACACACCAGAGCTGATCTCTATAGATGAGCATCGTTGCATTAGGTTCAGGGAGGACCTACACCTCAACATCCTATCGCACCTTGTAACCGACCCTTCAGAGTCTACACAAAGTTATCTCGCAAGGCAAAGGCGGTTGAGAGGGTCCTAAGCATGAGGGCCAAACAATGGATAAATTCATCATCAAAATAAAAATTAATTACCGGAAATTACCTTAATAATTGGAGCGAAGTTCCTACTCCAACTCACATACCCTTTTGATTAAGAATTTTTTACCCCCATTTGAAGGAAAACCCAAGAAGCTCGCTTATCTTTCATATTGCCTCCGACTCCTCTTCTGTCTTGGGATGATCCCTGAGGTTAGAACACTGGACTGGGTTACGAGATTGGGAAGAAGCCCCCTCCAACGATTCCCTTACTGTCCTTCTTAGGAGTCTTCTAGCACTGGCTCGAAATACTTCCATAGAAGATAAAGGAGATTGAACGCTTGTTTGCTGGAGTCCACTGCATGTCAACCTCCACTTGTCACTACGCTTGTTTGCTGGAGTCCACTGCATGTCAACCTCCACTTGTCACTACCTTCATTTGTTTTATCTCGATCGTCAAGACTGTCAGGCACCATTTCTATAAAAAAAAAAACACTATTTTCATCGAATGATAATGACTGAGATGAATTGGGGATTTTCATCTCTATCCCCCTAAATTATCTTCAGCATCATACCCATTAACAAGATATAGATTAAGGGAGGAAAAGTTGGGGTTGACTGACCCCGTAATCTTTTGGACACCAATTGGGTTGTTGTAAACTGAGCCCATCTAAGCTGGATTGGATTTGGACTCCAAGTTCTAAATCAGGTATACTGCCAACGGCGAGCCTCATCGTAGCGTCAACAGGAGTACTCACATGACCAAAACCCCTGTTCTCCACGTGGCTTGAACCAATGGTATCATCATTACTCCTATCATAACCTTGTTTGGGACACGTGGAAGTTGAACCCTCGTTACGTTTAATGCAGAGATCGAAGAGTTCTGAGAAGTATGTGAAACGTTCCTTGCCCTACTCGTCACCGGCAGGGCCTGGTCACTGAGGAATAATCTGTGAGAGTCAGGCTCAGAATCACTATTACTGTCACTGTCATTCTCTTGCAAAATATCAGCAAAGTTTTCTTTTCCATTATCATCAATGTCATACTCTTGTTTCTCCATCACCTTCTTTACGTCGATGTCAATTCGGAATGAGTGCCCCATAACTTTTACCAACAGATACTTTGGAATTTCTAATGAACTAACGATTCTAACAATCATGCCTGCTCTATCTAAACGGGATTTCTTTGTCGTGTTTTCTTCGGTACAGACAAACATCCCCATCGATCGATTTCCAATGTTAGAAAAGAAACCCTCATGCCAGCACGATATGTAGAAAGTAAAAAATAATAAATGGGTTGGCATCGAAAATTAGGTGCATAATTTTTTATTATTTTTTATATGGTCAAATTACAAATTCTAGTACTAAAATTTAAGGTATTTACAAGATTAAGTCCTTAAGATTTAGCTATAAATACCCTATCTCATTTAGCTTCAAAACCATCCCAAAGCATTCTAGCTTTCTTCCAATACTAGAGAGAATTTAGAGAGTTTCTTGAGAGTTGTTTTCTCCTTTTTTATCAAGAGAGAATTATCATTGTTTTCTCCTTGTTAGATCGAGAGAGGTTGTAATTCCTATTTTCTCATAGTGAAATTCTTCTACCGTTGCCCGTGGTTTTTACCCTAAATTTTTTAGGGGTTTTCCACGTAAATTTTGTGTCTCTTTTATCTTCATTTTTATTTTCTCAAATTATCAGTTGCGATTTTGCTCTATCCGATAGCCGTCTTCCGTAACAATTGGTATCAGAGCTAGATTAGAGTGTGTAATATCTGCTTATTGTCTTTGTGGTTGCCACCAAAAGGTGGATCCTCCAACATAAGAAAATAAGAAGTTATTACCCATTCTTTGAAGGTTTCAGAGAACTATTCACGATAGTGAAATAATGGGAGCTATCCATAAAAGAAGCTATGGCAACGAAATTTGATATTGAAAAATTCAATGGGAGAAATTTCTCATTGTGGAAATTGAAGATGAAGGCCATCCTGAGGAAAGACGGTTGTCTAGCAGCTATCAGTGAAAGGCCGGTGGATTTCACAGATGACTACAAATGGATCGAAATGGACGGGAATGCTATGACAAACTTTCATCTAGCATTAGCAGATGAAGTATTGTCAAGCATCGAGGAGAATAAGACAGCTAAGGAGATATGAGATTATCTCACCAAATTGTATGAGGCCACCTCGCTGCACAATAAAATTTTCCTTAAGAAGAAATTGTACACTCTCCGGATGCCAGAATCTACTTCAGTGACGGAGCACTTAAACACGCTGAACACTTTATTTTCTCAACTTACATCCTTAAGCTGTAAAATAGGAGAACAAGAACGTGTTGAACTTCTACTTCAAAGTCTACCGGATTCATATGATCAACTCATCATCAACTTGACAAATAATAATATCACCAGTCTAGTCTTCGATGACGTTGCAGCTGCTGTTCTACAAGAAGAAAATCGGCGCAAGAACAAGGAAAACAGACAAGTAAATCTGCAACAAGCAGAAGCTTTGACAACGATGAGAGAGAGATCAATAGAACGTGGCCAAAGCAGCAGTCACAAACATGGTAGATCGAAGTCAAGAAGCAAAAAGAATTTAAAGTGCTACCACTGTATAAAGAAGGGTCACTTGAAGAAGGATTGTTGGAGTCTAAATAAAAACTCCAATCCACAAGGCAATACCGCAAACACTTCAGATGATGGAGATGCTCTATACTGTGAAGCGTCAACCACCATGAAAGGTAGAAAACGATTTGCAGATATATGGCTCATTGATTCGGGAGCAACATATCACATGACCTCAAGAAGAGAATGGTTCCACCATTATGAACCTGTCTCAGGAGGATCTGTGTATAGTTGCAATGATCATGCCTTAGAGATCATTAGTGTGGGAACCATCAAATTGAAGATGTATGACGAAACAATTAAAGTTGTTCGAGATGTGCGGCACGTGAAAGGCCTGAAGAAAAATTTATTATCTTACGGATTGTTAGATAATAATGCTAGCAAGATTGAAACACGAAAAGGAATCATGAAGGTGTTCCGTGGAGCGCTTGTGGTGCTGAAAGGCGAAAAGATAGCAGCAATGTTGAAACATTTTAATATTTCGATATAACAAATTAAGTTAAATGGATTTTAAGATTTTCCAAATGATTTTCTAAGTATATTCGATATAACTATTCGAATAATCAAAACATTACTCCAAATATTTCAAAAATCATTTTTGATCCTTACTTAAGTGTAAAATTAAGTTTTAATCATAAAACAATTTCAAAATAATTTTACAAAGTATTTCGAACCAATTCAAAGCCAAAAATTCCAGATTGCTCAGAGGGAACCGATTCCCCCCCATAGGAGGAACCGATTCCCCCCTGATAGGGATGGCAACGGGCCGGGTTCGGGCCGGGTATTGGTCCCCCCGTCCCCGTCCCCGTTTAAAAAACCGCGGGGATTTAAACGGGGATCCCCGTCAGGTAATCGGGGAAAACCGCGGGGAAACGGGTATCCCCGTTTAGCATAAACGGTTATTTAAACGGGTATTGGGCCGGGTATTGGGCCGAGAATCGGGTCGGGTATATATATATATATATTTAAATTAAATATATAAATATATATTTTTTATTTAAATTAAATTTATTAATATTATATATATATATAAATAATTATTTTTAATATTTATCGGGGCGGGTAATCGGGGCGGGTAATCGGGGCGGGGATTACCAAACCCGTCCCCGTCCCCGTCCCCATTTAAAATAAATGGGTTTTCCCCGTCCCCGTCCCCGTTTATCATCCCCGAACCCGACCCGTTTAATTTGGTTTTCGGTTTTCCCCGTCGGGTTCGGGTTTTTTTGCCATCCCTACCCCCTGAATGGTTTGGCTCCGAGATTTCCAGAATGCTCGGAGGGAATCGATTCCCCCAAAGGGGGTACCGATTCCCCCCTGTTCAACGGTCGAAATATTTGAATTTTACACTTAGGGAACCGATTCCCTATGAGAGGGAACCGATTCCCCCCACGCTCCAAGCTGTTTTATTAAATGTATTCACACTAAAACGGCTATAATATCTTCTCTAATTATCCCCAACGTTCAGAAGTGATCCAAGGTGTATTTAAGCAAGCTTAGAAGCCGTTGATCAAGAACAAGAAACATCAAGCAACTAGAATCAAGAGAGAATCAAAGAGAAAGCATCAAACCTCAAGTTTGAGCATTTCAAGCCTATTTTCATTCAATATTCTTTTTGCTTTCAAGAACACTTTCTGTGCTCAATTGTATTCATCTTTGAGTGTTCTTTTCTTTGTTCTAGAATTGTGCAAACATCTTACCTTGTGAGGTTTTCTTGTAAGTTTGCAAATTTGTCTTCTCTTTGAGAAAAGAGTGTTCTCAAGAGTTGGGGTATACTCTTGAGGGAATTGTAAGGTTATCTCTTTGGCCTCAAAAGAAAGAACAAATTAGTGAATTTGTTGGAAAATCCTTAGTGTGGATAGCTAAGGTAGTGGACGTAGACTTTGTTTGAGAAAGTCGAACCACTGTAAATCGCTGTGCAAATACTTTCAATTCTCTGCAAAAGCTTCCACAAAATTTTTTATTGCCAATTCACCCCCCTCTTGGCCAATTTCGTCATTCGATTAACTCAATAATTGGCATCAGAGCCTAACTCATTTGAAGGTTTTATCGCCTCTTGAGTCGATTCGGGAAGAGTTATATCGATTGTTAAACTCATCAATGGCCTCCGCTTCAAACTTCGACTCCGGTCTCGATTCTATGCCCGTCAACAAGCCTCCTTTCTTCAATGGAGCTAACTACGCCTATTGGAAGAATAGAATGATGTACTTCATTCAAGCAAGTGACATGGGAGCATGGAATACCGTAGAAGAATGATACATTAAGCCTATCACTCATCCAAGGTTGTGGAGTGAAGGAGATACAAAAATGTTCCAGCTCAACTCCAAAGCCATCCATATTATCTTTGGTGCTCTTGGACCAGATGAATACGGAAGAGTTTCATCGTGTACAACCGCCAAAGAAATATGGGACAAGCTTCAAGTCACACATGAAGGTACCGATGAGGTAAAGAAATCAAAAATTAGTATTCTAACGCATAGCTATGAAAATTTCAGGATGAAACCAAATGAAGACATCAAAGCTATGACAGATAGATTTTCAACGATTGTCAATGGTCTCAAATCATATGGAGAGATCATCTCAAATGAAAAGCTTGTGAGGAAGTTAGTCTACTCCCTCCCAAAATCATGGCAATCAAAGAAGACGGCAATCATCGAGTCTAAGGACCTATCGTCCTTAACTCTTGAAGAACTTATCGGTTC